CCACCAATAGATGGAGCAACTTGTTAAAAAAAAAACAAAAAAAAAATCAAGATTTTTTTTTTTTTTTTTTTTTTTTTTCACACACAAAAAACGACCCCTCCTAAAATTATTTTTTTTAACTTTTGTTTGTTCGAGGGGGTAGGGTCGGGGTTTCGGAACCCCAATCTGAAACCCGCACCCCCAACCCCCTTTCCCCTCGGCCGCTGTTGGCCGAGGCATTCCGCGGTCGCTGCGGTGATGACCGCGGCCTCGCGGCCGAGGCCGTGGCCTGTGGTCGTACCCGCGGCGACCGCGGCCGCTTGGGATACATAGGGTCAGAGTGGTTAAAAATGCAGAACATGCCCTGGAAAAACAGCAAAATGGGGTGTGCCAAGGATTTTTCAAAAAATTGAGTGTGGGGACACATACGAAACTGAAATCCCCCGTGTGGTTCCAGACTTCCAGTTTTTGTGAGAAATGACCATAGCCTCACGGGAAAGAAATGGCGCGCGCTGCTTTCAAACATTCGCCTAATCCAAAAAGTATCTATGAACTTTCATGCGGCCTACTTAGCATCTTTTTAAATGGAAAGGGGGGGGTATGCACATGTGATCTAGTGTCCCAATTAAATCCCAACGCCTTCGTTACAGAGTTCAGAATCCGACGTGGACGACCTCACCCTGGTTGCTCTTTCCTTGTGTTCGTCCTTGCCACGTGTCCGGTAGTGGAACCCCTTTTCCCTATAATGCTCAGTGCGGCGACAATTGCTAAACACTGTACACGGAGTGTTTAAGTGTTGGGCCAATGAGGTGCCACCGTCATCCACGGGATGACTATGAATTCGTTAAAAGGCAAAAATAAGGCGTACGGGGGAAAGTGGGTATCAATAATGACAAAACCAGTGCCTACGAAGCCCGAGCACTTTGTTTCGGGAGGAAAATAATAGCGCCCCCCAATCTTGCCGACAACTGCTCGCACGTCCCACTCACATACACGTGTTCTTTCATCATTGTACAGGAACGGGCGTGGTGGAGATACGGGAAGTCGACGCCCAGTCGGGTCAGGTCAGCCAGTCCACATGGCATAAATAAGGTTGATTGCATAGGTCTACTCAATCTGTTATTTAATAAAAAGACTTCTGCTCTCTAACTATGAAACACCTGCGGACGCGTCCACAGGGTCCACCTCGGATGGCGGCCGTATATACAGCCGCGTCCACGGCCGACCTGATCTGCGCCGC